GTCTTTTGATCAAAGTGGCCTGTCACGTTTTTTGCGTATAGAAGAATCATTTACGAGAGATTTTTCAGAATTCTCCGCTGGGAGTTTGGAGGGAATGAGAGGCGAAGGTTTTGGAGGTATGTTGTTGGAGGGGAAATGGAGGGGAGGATGATGAAACCCTTCTTTGTATTTGAGAGTAATAAATTTGGAAGAAGAAGATTTTTGAATAGATTATAAGTAAAATCACTTTGAGATATGATGAATTCAAATAATTGAATTGATATTTTTTTTAATTAAACTTAAATTATGATTTGATTAATTATTTTTCAAAACCCTTCAAATTGGGGAACTCATAAATTGAGTATTTAGAGGATTTTGGAGGGTCACTAAAGCCCTCCAAATTTTATAAACTCCCAAACATAAAAAGGAGTGCCATAAAAACCTATCAACCTTTCTCTCCCCTCCAAAATCCAACTCCCAAACACACCCTAAGTGTACATAGTCACTATAGTATGTAATAACTTAGTCTTAGTAACACTCATTTTTACACTTTGATGGAACTAATTGTCCCGATCGAGTAAATAAAGAAATTAGAGCGGACATAGTATTTTATCGTGGAAACCAAATCAGTGAAAACCACGGGCCTTTTTGGGTGGTACCATGCCAACGGGAGCCGAGAGCTTTTATTATAGTTGTGTGGGAGAGGTTACATGTACAAAACATATATGAAGCTTCTAGGGAAGCCATTAATGGAGAAATAATTAAGCTAGGAAGAAGAAATAACATGTGCATGAGAGGAGAGGGGAGTGTTGTGTCGTAGGAAATGGGATAGTAGTTAGGCAATTGCCCTCTCTTTCATTGATGAGTAGCTAGTCATTAAGTAGATAAATATTCAGGCAAGTGGCATATGGGACGTTTCCTCGTCACACACATATGTCATACTCAAATAAGTAAAGGCATGGCGTAGGGCTGAGTGTGTTTCCTCCCAATTATGTGAATATGTTAATATCTTTTGTATATGTGATTCCCGATAAGACCTTATATATAGACTGCGATGAGTCTAGAGGAATATTCTCCATCACACTTAAATGAGTATGAAATTACTATATTATAGTAACATTTTTTATAAATAAGTTTCATTTCATTCATATTTTTGTATATTTATTTTATATGTGAAACCCTTAATTTTGTATGTAAATATTTTGCAACGTTTTATTGTGTGTGTAAACTTGTAGCGGTGTGACAGTGTGACACTGATCAACAAATTCGACCTTTGATAGTTTGATTGCCTGTGATAATTTATACGGAGTAGACAATAATGAGGGGAGAGGGGATCTACATATATCAATAGTGACAAGATGTTGAAGGAATAAGAATGGATTATGGTGCTGGGAAAATATTGAACAATACCCACACCCTTTATGTACCATATTCCCCATACACCCCACACTATTCATGACCAAACCCGACCACAATTTAATGCATCTCTTCGCAAACAATTATGTTCAACCCTAATCCTTAATTAACATTAATCATTTGAAGCATCTTTATTTCATCTGTTCTTAATTAATTGGTGTTTTAACTTGTTCTGCTTTCAGTTGTACTGTGCATATCTTATGTCTGATTTGTTGGGGACATTGATGCACATAACGGAGTACCCCGAAACTCATAAGATTAGAATTTCGAAAGGGGCTAGCTCAAAACGAATTAACGATAATAAATTAAATGTATGTTACATTTCAGAAATTGTAAAAGATAATTTCATCATCACAAATTGTAACTATAGCCTAAAAAAGAATAGGGCCGGCCGGCTGGGCACCGTGATTATACAAGATCCTAGCTATAACAAACTACGGATTATGTAGTTTAAAATGGTGTAATGTTAATATTGAACATACTCTAATAAATGGAAACCTAATAATAATATATCATAACATACCATACCTTAAATGTCAACCTCCTTAAATAGGGATTGAGTTTCGACCTTGTGACCTCCTCCTTTGGAGTGTCAGAGAAATGTCATGGAACCACAAGTGTTTAGGCTTTTAATAAATATAGATTGATTAGAATAAAAAAACTAATTATGTTAAGTATTCTTAGCAATTAGTATATCATTAGTAAATGTATTTGTAATGTTGTATCTTTACTAGTTTTTTTTGAAAGAGTATCTTTACTAGTTAGTTAGACGAGAATAACAATAATAAGTAAAAAAAATTATTTTGAAAAAATAAAGTTATTATTAACGTAATAGCAGTGTCGTCCTGTTTTATTTGAGGTTTTCCCAAAAGTATTACAAATGAAAAATGTATAGAAAAAAAATGTGAATATTAGTTACTACGTACTACACATAAATATTATAGTCACTATAATATAACATTTGAATATAGTTATAAATGTGAATAAATTATTTTGAAAAAATAAAGTTATTAGATTAACGTAATAGAAGTTTCGTCCTATCACATTTTTTATCACTACTTTTATTTTGGTTATATATTTGTAGTTATTTTATTTTAATTGGCATGGGATTCACTCGATAAGGAAAAGACCATCTAGTTATACATGTACTCCCTATAAAACACATTAATTGGTTCAAGTGTGGTACAGTCTTTTTGCATGCCCCTAGAAACCAACTTTTTTAAACCAACTTTTTTGGCATAAAAAGAGTTATTTATTGGTGTGTCGTTTCTTATGATAAAAATCTTTCACATACAAAAACAGTTCTATAGACCTTGGGAGGGGCCAATATTTAATTTAAAATTGCAGAAATTAAATACACAGTATATATTTTTAAAAAGCATTTGACTCTCATAAAAAGACATCAATTATTAATTAAATTGTCGTTTTTGGGCAGAATTGAGTTTCTAGTTCTAGGCTTCTAGCTAATAAAGAAAACAGGAGAAGTTGTACACCAAGCAAAAAAATAGCTTTTTAAAAAAAACGTATACATTTCCTAAAGTCTAAATTTATGGAAAACTTTAGCCCAAATCTGCGGGAGAATAAATAGCCTTTTCCCTCAACAACTCAAACCATTCTCTCCTTTCCAGTGTCTCTCCCATGGCAAGAATTTATCCCCAGACCTCATCCTCCTCTTCTTCACCATCTTCTTCATCTTACATCACCTCAAAGCGTGAGACGTTTACAGTGTGGATGAAGTCTCTTGTCTTCCATGGCAATGGATGCACTGTGTTTGACTCCAATGGTGAGATTGTCTACAGGATTGATAACTACAACAGAAAATGCAGCAGAGAAGTTCATCTCATGGATCTCCATGGCAGAGTACTCTTCTCTATCAGACGAAAGGTATCGATTTGACTGCTCTTTTTGTCTTAGTTTTTGTATTTTTAAGACTTAAGATGAACTGCTGAAATCTTTATACTTCAATTATTCTGTTGTTAAGAAGAGTAGTTCAAATCTTTATACATTGAATTGTCTATTTGAGCTTAATGAATCGAAAAAGTTAAGATTTGGTGAACTAAAAACTCTAAAAGGTAAAGCTTTGGAGCAGTGGATACACTAGAAAAAGTTAAAAAGAACTCAGTTATATCATAAAAGCATCAACATATAAAAGAAGAGTTCAAAGTCTGTATATATTATTTGCATCTTTTTATTTATTCACTCTGAAAGGCCTAAAAAGTAGAAATAAAAAAGCTAGTATGTATCAATGCTGGATAGACTTTGACCTGTGGTTCATATGCAGAAATTTTCAGTTTTTGGACAATGGAATGGCTATAGATGCAACAACAGTGAAGTGGATTGTGAAGAAGTACTATGCTTTCAAGTTAGGAGAAGTTGGAACGTTTTGGGAGGAGACTCGAATAGCTACTATGTCAATCCAGCTTCAGATCAACCACAAGAGAACTGTTATGAAATCATTGCATTACCTGGAAAATCTTCATTCAAGATTGTCAATAGAACAAGAGTAATAGCAGAGGTTTGTGCTTCTCCTCCCATCAATCTTAAACCATGTTCTAGAAGTTAAAAGTTTTTCACTTTTTCCCCTACAGCCCTACTCTTTGTATATCTTTGCTGACCTTATGCAATGTTGGGGTTTGCAGGTGAAACAAAAGCAGGAAAAATCTGGAGTTGCTTTTGGGAATGATGTGCTAACTTTGATGGTAGAGCCTCACTGTGATCATTCTCTAGTTATGGCTCTTGTGACAGTCTATGGATTGATTAACAAAAAACTATGAAAGAGATTCTGTACTCATTTATACATTTATTTCGACAAATACAGTGTATATGTGAAGGAAACTTACATGATTCAAAGGATAGTAGCGTACACTGTTTAGATCCTAAAGAAATTCTAACCAATTATTTTCTTGTCTTCAAGAGCATATGGCATCGTTTGGATTTACTGAGAGTTTCAGAGAGTTGTCTATTTACCTTATTTATTCTTTTTACCCATTTGGGGTGAAATCCATAGTTTCTTACAATACACAAAGTCCATCAACAATTTCATAATGGAAATGCCTTATTGAGATAGGCATAGACACATAGCCTTGTTTATGGACCAGGACTGACTAGATTTTTAACTAGAAACTAGACGGGTAACCAGTCATGAACCGATACTAGACATACTGGTAACCATTTATTTTCCAGTTTGGTTCTGGTTCCTCCAAAATAAAACTGGACCGGCCAGTTCTGGTTACTTTTTAAGGTTACAAAACGGTTAAGAACCAAACAAGAACCGATTTGTCTACCTGACTTGGGGCTGGTCTGGAAGACTGGAACTGGCATTACCATTTGTCTCCAACCCTAAGTGGAGCTGAAACTTTAAGTCTGGAACCAGAACTGGCTTATGTACAACTATATTGAGAATAATGTCACACAAGCAACTCCTTCAGTATTATGCAAAATCTGTGAATACATATAGTAGAAATCTTCACAGCAAGAAAGGCCATTGTCAACATTGTTATGTAAATATATGTATATATAATTGACATACTAGATATATATATATTAAAAAATACCCTTTGCAAATATACAACTTTTTCTCTTTTTTGAAGTTGAAGTTTTAATGAAATGAAATTGCATGTGGATAGAAACATAAAATATAGTTTATTCAAGGACTCTTTTTTGCACTTTTAAGGTTCCGAACTTTCATCACAAGCTGCTGCCTTTCACCTTCTACCTCAGCAAACTTGAGGCTTATTTCAGAGTATCTCTCTTGCATTTCCTTCAACTCAGCTTCCATTATTCCTTTCCTCTCTCTCAGTAATCTAACTTCATCCCATAATTCGTTATTGCTGAAAATGGAAAAGAAATATTTGCTCTTGAGACTTGAGGGTTCAATAGTGTAAAATACAAGACAACTAATTTATGTAACAAAATCTTATTTTTATTTTTGTGAAATATTTTCAACAGATTCATGTAACACTCCCTCCATCTATTTTTGTGTCTTGGTGTGTTTTTTCTTTCTTGGCTATTTAACTTCTGAATCTGCCCTTAGATTAATGGTTGGGACTTGGGAGTAATAATAGTGATAAGGTGGAGATATTATATGGGGTCATAAAGTAAATGGACAACCCATTTTTATTATGACTTTACTCACGGGCGGGTGACAAATTGATGTACTGACATTATTTTGGGAAATATCAATTTTGAATTTGTGGGGATATACCTATTTCGCGTTTCACTTGTTCCTGAAATCAGATCAAAGTCTTCTGTACCTTCCTGCATTGTTAGTAATGAATCATTAGCTCCACTTTAAGTGTGTGTATGTGCGCGCATATATTATTAAAAAAGGTTTGAGTACATTATTTTTTTTCAATGTGTTTGATTAACAGTTTCACCTAAGAATTCTTTGATCTTCATCATTCTTCATCATTACCCCAATGGCGCAAAGGCTCCCCACCTACGCTGGGGTAAGAGGGGGTCGGATGTACGCAGCCTTACCCTGTACTAAAGTACGCAGAGGCTGTTTCCGGATGACCCATAGTGAGCCATATTGCCTTATTCCATCATATTCTCAAGCCAAAAAAATAGTGAGTTTTTGGCTCCATGGAAAATGATGGAGCACTAAGAATTCTTAGATGATACAGCTAAAACCAAATAAATCTCATTCAATTTAAATGCTTTCACTGAGGTGGTCTGATCCAGTTGGATCATCTTCCCCCAGTTCACAATAAGTGTTGTTTTAAGTTTTTGACAAATTGGAATTCCCTTTAAGACCCGTATTTAATATTTTTGCTCTCAAGAAATTTAATACTCTTACGGTGCTAAACCAACCAAACTACTACAATTACAATTTACAATGGTGGGAAAACGGGACTTAATTACTTCTTAACCTTTTGGGACATGTGTTCACAAAGACTGGCATTATTCTGGTTGAGTTCTTCTATTCTTGTTTCTAGCTCTTCAATTTTATTTTGATGATCTTTCTCCTTTTCCAAATATGAATTTGTTGAGGTCTCGAGAGCATTTTCCTTCATCTTGATTTGACCCTGTTTGGCACCAAAAACATTAGCTGTCACTTTCCAAAACAGAATACTATTAACAATTGAAACATTATCAAACTTGACAAACTATTTCTAAACATGTAATGGCAAAAAAAAGAGGAAAGAGGTCTTCCATTATACATTTCAAAACTATTTCTAGTACATGTTCCAAAACATATTCTTGTCGGGGAAAGGGGGAATCCTAATACAACAAAAGAAAAGGCTTATTTTTATTGATTTTCCTCAGAAAATGCATTAGCTAAAACATGTTTCTTTTCTTTTGGGATGAAGTGATTATTCCATAAACCTTACGTCCTTACTCTAGGTTTAAATTTACCTCGAGCAACTTGATTTTCTCCTTGAGACTAGTAACCTCATGGGAAGCAAGTGCACATTTATCTTTCCTTGAACAAGCTCTTAATGTGTCTTCTTTCTTCTTCAGATCACTCTTCAATTTGGACACCTCCTCCCTCAACTTATCTTTCTCCAACTCATCCTCAGACATCCGGCTATTCAGCTCACTATACTGCTCCCTAAGAGCACCTATCTCTAACCGAAGGGCAGCTACTAACGTGTCTTTCTCATTCATGAGACGTGCCATATTGTTCATTCCTTCTATACACTCCTCCACCTTTTTATGCATCGAGACAAGCTCATTTTCAAGTTGACTTTTCTCTAGCCGGAGCTCATTTGATTCGGTCAACGCTTTGGTAGCTAGTTTCTCATTGGCCTGAAACGTGGATGCTATTTGCACTGAGAGCCTCTTGAGTTCTTTCTGAAGCTTCTCTGCTGTTTTGGCATTTTGCAACCTAGTCTTTCTCAGTTCTTCTTCAGCGCATATCGCTCTTTTCTCTTGCTCTACCTGTTAAAGTATACACATAACTATCACAGTTTTAGTAATACTAAAGCTTCCTACCTGTTAAAATAGGAATATAGTTTTTGCTAAATTGGGCCTAGCTCACTTCAAAATGATCTTTTTGGGTTTTCACCTACATTTTAAACATCCAATGTGGACACTTCATATGCCCTAAGCCCAAACCAGGCTGGAGAACTTGAGAGGGGTAGACAAGTAAGCTAAGCTTACCCAAACAGGCTATCCTAAGCAAGGTTTCCCAAATAAACAAATTACCAAACCTCAGTCAGACCAAGTTCTGATACAATGTTGAATTTGACTCACTCCAGATAAATTTTCAAAATATGAGGTTTAGTAGTAAACATGTGGGATACTTAGCATTTTTCCTATTGCTATTAGGTTTCTATTCCTTCCATGTTTAGTTCTATTATTGGTTTTAAAAGCATTGCAAAAGTTTCTAGAAATTATAATAATAAATTCAGTTATATCACTAAAAGTAGTATTTTATTATTAACCTTAGCATTAGAGAGAGCTTCTAGATCGGTTTCAAATTGTTGAGCTCTTTTTTCAAGTTCTTCCTCTAAGGCTTCAATCTGGGCATATGATCCGGACGAACATTCGCATTGCATGTTTAGCTGTTCCTGCAACTGGCTCTGCTCTAGTTTATGCAACAAGTGGTGGTTTTCCTGCTTCAGGATCTCATAATCAAGTGCTAACTGCTCCATTTGTATTTCTAATTCGTCTTTATCTCTTCGATAGATCTCCAGTTCGTTCTCGAGGTCCATGATCTTTTGCTCAAGCTCATATGATTCTATGCCATCACCATGGTGTCTCACAAGCTGCTCCAGTGCTTTTTGTTCTTCATCACCATCATCTTTGTAGCTGGTGTTGCCACTGACACTGTCATGATTAAAGTTAGGGTTTGTAAATTTTTAGGACAGTCCCCTTTTGGAACACGGAAAATGCTAGGGAAAAACAATGACTTTTTTTACATTTGTTCGAATTCTTTTTTAATTATATAAAGACAATGAAATCTTAACATATGTAAAAAATTAAAATGATCTATCCTGTTTTGGTTTAGTTTTTCTTCTAAAGGTAAAACCAAATATAAGGAAAAAAATCTTTTAGGTTTTATTTCATTTCTCTGACCTTTTCCTGGACCCAAACAGAACCTTAGGATCTGTTTGGAAACCGGAAAATGTTAGAGAAAGAACACATGAAAAATCATGAAACAAAGAAAATCCAATGAAAATTGAAGTTTGGTTAAAACTAAACTAACCAATTTCAGATATTTTTTAAAACTCATTTTATTTATACATTTATGTTGTATAAATTTTCCATCATTTCCGATGGAGCCAAAAACACTATTTTTTGGCTTGGGAATATGATGGAAAAAGGCAAAATGGCTCACTAAACTCTCAGTGCTTCTTGTTATGAAGGAGCAGTCAGTCCATTCAAATTTCGACGCAATCTTCGTCACGGGTAATTGAAAAACAGTCTCTCTGTGCTCTAGTACAGGGGTAAGACACATCCGACCCCCCGTTTACCCTACCATAGGTGGGAGCCTTTGCGGCACTGGGGTAATGTTGTTGTGTTTGTGTTGTATAAAGGCTAAAAAATCTAAATGTCTTTAACATTATAAAAAATCTAATTATATTTTATTTTGATCATATTTTCATGGTCATTAATGTGAAACCTAATAAATAAATAAATAAATAAATAAATAACATTCATTGGCATTATTTCCCATTTTCCTACCATTTTCCGGGTTCCAAACATATCCTAGATATATTCTCTGAATTGCTGGATAGCTTTGTGATCTCCTTATCCTTATGTTCCAACAACTCTTCAAGATCACGAACAGCAAGAATCAACTCAGAGTTTGACTCTTGTGTCTTCTCTAGTCGTATTTGAAGGTTAGCATTAAGATCCTTGTGATAATTCAATTCTTGTCTAAGTTCATGAACAAGTGTGTGAACATCCCGTCCGTCGAGCAACTCGTCTTTACATTTTGCATCATCCAAACGCCTCCTAGAGGCTTTAAGTTTTTCACATTCTTCTTTGAGAGCATCACGT